GATGTTTGAGGCTGGTAGGTAAGATTATCCCACTCAATAGAAATATGCCAAATAATAGATACAGTTCTATACAATATCAGCTAGAGCCATAGACAATTGACTTACTCTTGATGGCCTTGGTGACTTCGGAAACGGTTGGCGTCGGCGGAGTATCTGGAGTGAGACTCGGACGAGACAGCATTTCGGCCTGAACAGCAGAGACAAGCGCATCTCGGGTGACCTCTGGGTGTCTGTAGAAGAGGGACGAGATCGCTTGTAGGGCGTGTGTGCTGTTGGCAACCTCGGTGCTGAAGTCCAGGAAGAGGTCGTAAACGGTGCAGCCAAGGTCCTGACAGGCTTTATTGATTCGCTGGGCGTGCTTCGGATTCAGCTTAATCGTATTGTAGGATGGCGCAAAGATGGGGAATAGAGTGGCCTGGAGTCGGAGGTCTGGGATCCTCTCTCGCATAAACGCCGGCCACTCTCGCACATCGCGATTATTGCTGTGGCTGCTGCTGCTGTCGCTGTCGGACTGGGACTTGTGGCGATTGATGGCGTAGGCAGCGCGCCAGAACTGCTCGTGGAGCCTAGGGTAGATCTCCGTAATATTCGGCCCAGGGCCGGTTGCCAGGTGGTTCAGACACTGGTCGAGTTCGCCTAGAAGATCTCTTACGGCAGGCCATCTCTGTGGAAGTGTCGAGGGGAGGTTCGCAGTCGCGTTGGGGTCCTCCATGCCAGGCAGTGCGAGCAGACGAGCGACAGTGATCTTGATGGCGGCCGAGAACACGGAGAAGCGAAGCAAGCGACTTGGACAAACACAAGAAAAAACGACCAAAGGACAGACGACACAGCCGGGGAAACGAGCGCACGGGGGAGACGAAAACACGACGCCGCACGAAGAGCGATGATGATGGCCGAGCAGAACAGAAGTCGGAATGCGGGCGCAGGCAGCCGGCAATCGAGATCTGACTGGCAGTTGATTGCGCGCCAGTCGATTGAGACTGGAAGGTACTCAAGGTAAGAGAGCTTGCATCTTCTGGAGTGATGTGCGATGATCGACGTCATTGGGAGCGAAGGGGGGGTAGGGACAGGAGCCAGTGCTTTCCTGCTCTACACCGAGAGAACATCACCTGGATGGCGAGTTCCTTCTGCAATTCCGTCTGAGGAAGTCGTCAACATCCCTTCCTTCTCGTGAAAGTCTTGGAGGTTTGGGGGCTGGGCCTCGGCCTTTCTCTATCCGTTCTTCTTGCTTTCCCAGTTCCTGCCCGCCCTATTGACAACATCTCGTCACGTCGACCACACATCGCGCACCATCCACCATCATCAACGTCGACCTTTTCCACGCACACCCAAATCCAGACGCCAGTCATCGAGCTGCACCAAAACATCCTTCTTGTTTCTCGGTCGGAAAAAGCAGGACACTTATGCTTGCGGTCGAAACCCAGGTAAGCCTCCCTTCCTCGCCTTGCGCCGCCACAAGGTCACGCCTGACAGACGTATGTCTCCCAGGAAAGCGCATCACGAGCTCGAAGTCGAATCGAGACGAGATCCATCGAAGCGACCGGCGAAACTTCCAATCGAGCGGAATAATGTCGAAAGAAAGCCTGTCTGCTCGACTTGAGGTCGACAAGACGATACAACGCGCACAGCTAATCGGCCTGTGTGGCGAGCTGACTCGCATCTGTCGCTTGTACTTCGGCACCGACCCGAACGACATTCAATCATCCACACAGTCGTCGAATCGTAGCTCAGGCATGTCGAGAAATAGTGCACCCGGTCAAGGACGCAAGATGCCCGCCGACAGGAACATCGACCTTGCTCTGAGTGCCGTCGAGCACGCTGCCGCTTTCGTCGGACAGATGGTCGAGGCTGCGAGGGAGAAAAAGTGATACAATGCACCACCTCGGACGGGATACGAGTTCTCAATTGGTATTTGGTAGCCCAATGCTTGGTTCAATTTGTATCGCCCACAAGAAAGCGACGGTGCGGCTCGGGAGTTCACAAACGGTCGCGATGGTGAGGATCAGAAGTGGACAGACACCATCTTCCCAACCTTGCAGACAGGCACGCATCGTTCATATGGAGGAAATTTCTCAGCCCACTCTGCAACAGGGTACACATGCATCGTCCATAAGCCTGAATCAATCAAGCTATCAGCAGTGCTTGGGACATAATATGGCGCACCACATCTGATCCCAGGTGAATACAATGACTCACTTTACCATCTTCAAATACATTCTTCAAGGCGGAGAGGAGCCCGCGATCTAGCATCACCACAGACTTCCTGTCGACTTCCAAGATTCGTGTCATATCCGGACCCCAGCGTCCAAGCCGGCCTTCCTTTCCCTTTCACGCCGTGGATGATCCCGTTCTCAGTGTGGTCACCTCTCCTTTCAATGGCTCCCCATCCTGGCTTCCCGGGCGATGAGTCGCACTGACGGCCCAGATGTGACAGTCGTTTGTTGTGGCTGGTGCCTTGCTCCAAAGACGACATCGCCATCGGTGAATTGCTTCCGTTTTCGCCTGCCCTCTTTCATGGGGTAGCCGCACAGGGTCTCAAAGCTCTAACAGACTGTGATGAGCAATTTAGGAGCCATGTCCTGGTCGTAATTGCGTTTCCATCGATGCCCACCTTTCAGCGAAATTCATTCAGCGTGACTGCCTCTTGGATGTCATGAACAGTGTCCATCGTGTCTTTTCAAAACACCGAAGGGTCTTCGTGACGACCTCGACTCTCAGTTTCCTGACATGCTGAGAATGTTTTCAAATGAATGGACCACTTGAAGAAAGTACATACGCCAAAGAAACCGAGTGTCTTACTTGAAGCATGGTGGAAAATCCAAATCATCCCAGCAGTTGTGTCGATTGCAGCTACTGGCAGGATGTTTCCGATTCTCAGAGAGGCGGCAAAGCGTTTCGGCGACGCCTTATTTACCGCACCAACGGGTGGTTGTCTATGTATTAAAAACACGTAGAGAAGTACTTGCTTTGCTCCTCTCTCTTGGGGCAATAACGACAACGATCTGCTACATGGTTATATATGGAATAACGAGGATGTGAAAGTCGCTGGCATCAGTGGAACTTTTGAGGCCGATGCCCTAGTCATATTTGTGACTGATGGATCTAATGTAGAGGCCACGACATAAGAGAGGCGGCAATTAACTGGGGATCGCTTGTGTTTCCTCGGGCCCCAATCACAGGCTATCGGTGGGGAGGCAATGGTGGGCTGGCTTGAAGCCTGCCGAGCTCGCTCTCCACGAAATACTGCCGCCAGCAGTGGCTCACAGGAGGAAGCCATGTGACGATATCGATATGCCGCAGATCTGGATGTTTTATGAGTCGGAGGATTTCTGAAGAACTCAACGTCATGACCACATCCCACGCGTGGGAAGGTGAAAATTAGAAGGCGTCGAGTGAAATCGGGTGTACACAAAAATACACATTCTGCACGCCAACCTTGCTCGATTAGGCGCATTGTTTGACCTTATGGAAATCTGGGCGCTTATTTATTGGGGAAACCTCCCCCATAACCCATCCCGACTCAAATAGGACCGCGTCTCTCTTGAAGGTTACTCACGCTGGCATTTGGCATTCTCACACTCATACTACTGAAGGTTTCTACGACGCAGGCGGCGGGCGGCGATTCTACGTTAAAGACCGCAGCATACCGCTGCCTGTCGCTCTGGGTTACCAAATCTACGTACGGAGAAGTGAAAACACTCGGGCCGGAAACAATCCCGATACCGGTCGGCTTCTGCTCAATTGTCCATCCTTGACTTGGCTGTGGCTCCTGCACTCGTTGAACCCAAGAGCAAGATAATCCTATTTGATGCTGAGAGCGGCCCTGAAACATTCCGACACGGCGGGTTGAACGACTATGTAAACGTGTCTCATGCCAAATACTTGGTTGACCTGGGTGATGTCAACCCCGCTGTGCCGTGCACCCAGCACGATTGGGCCCTTGGGCATCACGACTGTCGGTGTGGTTAGCAAGGTCTTGCCACTGCCGCCAGATGAACCAGTTCTCCTTATTGGAGCCGGAGGCCTTGTTCTCTGCCACAGCCGTATTGCAAGCAGTCGGACATAAGTGTACTATCGCTACAGAGATGGCAGATGAGAAATTTGAGGCTGCTTCTGCCGTCGGGGCCACCAGGACAGTTGATATATCCGGCCCCTCGGCGCCGAGGGACGTCCTTGCGGCGGCCTTGCAACAGTCTTTGGGCCTTTGATCGCCGTTATTGCCTCTGTCAACAGCTCAACTACAGCAAGCTTGTTCAGCTATATCATTATGAAGAGGCGAAATGGGCTTACGTCGGCGTCGTGGGATGGTGGATCGAGCAATTGCTTGTAACTAAGATCTTTAAACGGTTCAATATCTTCTCGAATATCGCTGGGAATCCGGAAAGTATTGCACAGGCTATTTAGCTATGGTTTGCTTGTTGCTGAAAATATTGTATTGTTAGATACCAGCGTACATGTATCATTGCGGATCTGAGCTTGAATGATTGTTCAGCACCATGACATATGCCGCATGAATAGAAATTTATTGAAGCTATGCTCGCTATTGTTTCCAGGGTTTCAAATAATTGAATGCAGGGGGCCTGTTCTGAAGAGAGATCATCTGGCTTCCGCTTTCTGCCGGAGTCCATAGCTTCTGGCGCCTCAGAGGTACTCCACTTGAGGTGCTTTGAAATGATTGCAGGGCTGACGTCAATCTCGATCTCACTTAAAGACCAGTGGGCGCGTGGGAAGCAAAGCGGATGTCGCAGAAAAGCCCTAGACCGACACCACCCCCAAGCATGAATCATCGATCAAGGCAATGGTTGTCTGCGGTGTGTGGTCAATTGCATCGTATAGAGCGAGGGCTTTGCCATGACAGCTAGACTCGGCAGACATGTCGGATGTATCATTGGGCCGACTCAGATCCATTCCGGTACAGAAGTGGTTGCCGTCGGATTCGAAGAAGACGTGATACACCCACGACTAATCCTCGAGGCCTTGCAAAATATTCGTCAAGGCCTTCAGAAATCGATTTGTCTGTGTGTTTTCGTTTTTCTCTTGGCCTGGATTGTGTGATTTTCAGGGGTACTGGCACGAGAAACACAGTACTCGTCAAGGTCATCCATCACCCATGATATGTTCGTCTTCGAGGCATTCTTCGCTCCACCTGACGCACGCTTTGCTGCAATCGCAGAAATTACTCTACTTCCGTACGGCTTCCCGATCTGTTAAGGGATCGATTGACCAACGGCGGAGAGTTTGTCAAGGACAACACCAGTGATGATATCCATTCTCTCCAGGGAACAGGTCACATCCTCGGTCTTCACGTTCCCCTTTGCTCCAGAAGCAAATGGGCATCTACCAAGTCTAGGAACGCTTGCGTCGAACGGGTCAATACCCATCACATAGGCACGGACTTTGTGAGCAAAGCCATAGCCGTAGGTATTATGGAACTGACCAACTAATCGATCAGCAAGCACGCGCTGGAGCAATAGTTACAGCAACAGCTTGGTGTCGCGAGGCATCCCAGTGCCCGAATTTCACCCAGACCAATTTCATAGCAAGCAAAATTGAGAAATCGCTGGACGATGGGAAGCATGGCATTTGGGGGCGTCGAACCGCTGAACGGGTCTTTGAAGAGGCAGAAGTGACACGGCCTAGACAACGGATTAGCTGTAAGCTCAAAATGGTCGGAGTTTGAATCTACCTACACTCGCATCTTCACACACATTTGGGAGAGTTTGTTACTTACTTCCTCCGCCTAACCAAGAGCTTCAGCGACAGTACTCTATTAGTGGGCTTTGCTGAAGGCCTTAGTCACGGAAGCAAAACAAACAATGCGTTTTGCGCCCCCCGTAGCAGCTCATCCAAGTCCTTTGACGTTGGGCGTCAAAACTGGAGGGCAAACTCCGCGAGTATGTTGACAAAGACATTTAAGAATGTCAGCCCCATCTGCGATCTGAGGAACCAACTTTGGGACTGGAGACAAATGACCTGTCCGCGATGTCACGCACTTCAATGTCGGGCAGTGGTTTGATTAGTTCGGCTTTCGTGGCTGTGAGAACAACAGGCTTTGCAAACCACCTAGCGGCCCTGTCTCAGGAATCTGGCGTTTGTTTAGAGATCTAGATGAGAGCAGCCTGCGGCAGGCATTTCGTTGGCAATTGACCGGGTCACAGTAGTCAGAATCAGGGCAATTAGTTGCTGGACATTAGGATAAGGTAGGGTAATTTTCAACTTCTTCCATACCATTGAAAGGCCCCATTGAACGAAGCATCTGTCCAGAAGGCACGACTTGACATCACTGAAGCGCGGTCGGCTATGGTGCTCGGGCTCGATATGGGTGGATGAGCAGTCCGGGATAACCAATCATTCAGGGCCAGGCGGCATTTCAGAGGCTCCAGAATCACAGTCATAGGACTGTACATGATAAACACCAATTGTGCATGATGAAGAAGGCGAGCACATGCCGGACAACTCTGTCGTCAACTCAGCACGCTGAGCGCGGTCGCAACTGATGGCGGTGCTGTCTGCATCGACACCATCGCGGTATCCCCCAACTAAAAGATTACCGCCTTGTCGCGAAACCTGTCGCCGCTGCACTGAGCCCGGCTGATTGGAGGCCTATGTAGGGGGCCGATCCCGCGATGGCTGCGTCGTAAGCTGCGAATATGCTGGCTTAGTTAATACTGCGGGGTGCCGTCACCAAACCCTGGAAGCCTAGCCACAGTACCTTCAGATGCGGTCACACCGCCAGCTCTGTTAATCTGGATGATGGAGTTTTTGCCCAAGTTGCATCAGTTGTGGGCGATCTGCAGATGGAAGATGTTGCACCCACGAGTTTCGAGGAGGCTGCCGCTTTGGGGCTAGGCCCCATCGCAGTCGACTACGGTCTTTACCATACCTCCAAGCTCTGAAGCTACAGTTACTAGCCCCGGACGCCGAGCGTGAGACTAACGACCTTAATGTACTTACTTATGGCGGAGCAACTGCTACTGGAGCTCTAGCTTTCCAGTCTGCCAGACAGTTAGCCAACTCGACATACAAATGTCTGACCTCGCTCTGGCTAACTTCCGTCCCTGATCCGGCTACACGGTTAACTCAACAAGCTCGGCTGCAGACGTTGGGTACCTGAAGGATGGGTGCTGACCTTCGTCAGTGTTGCTCTTATTTTTGACGTCAGAGCGAGGCGCACATCTTTCCCTGGGGCATCCGTCATGTAGCGCAACACCTAGTGCCGATACAGTCATTACTTACCACACCAGAGACGTTGGTAATCAGATCCGCACCCCTTCCGAGGGCCTTGGCTTTGAATGCATTTTAAGGTATGATACTGGGGCGCTGATACCCCAATCAGTCTGTCTCAATGCCCAGATTTCCCATGATAAGCCCACGCCGGTTTGAGTGAAGAATGAGCCATTCACGTGCTGACTGTTCTCAGTTCATCGGCGAGCATATAGTGCTCCTAGTATTGCACTATTCATGAAAAAGCCGGCACCCATGTCGACCATACAGATAATTGGGCGCACGGGAGGTTCATTATGGTCATGGCATGAATAAGGCGGCCTCAGCACCAGCAATAGGGTCTTATTCACTGCGATTACGACACGGCCCAGGGCTTCCGTATCCTGCCGCCCTACCCATCGAATGAAACATTCATAAGAAACGAACAAATATAATGGCAAACGGTGAGACCGAGACATATACATGAAAGGCTCGCGTAAAGCATCCATGGGTTGATTTCAGGAGAGGTTCGAACCTAAGCCTGAGGCAATCCATCGTCAGAGGCTTAAAGTCTTCGACACTCTGTGGTCCTCCGCATCATCAAGATAGTCTGGAATGTTACGAAACCAGGTGTATATATATATATATATATTCCGCCATCTTGAAAAGATCAACTAAGATGACTTGCCCTTTGGGACTTTCGAGTTTTATCATATAGATGAGAAATGATTGGGCAACGGGCCTGAATCAACCTTCAATTCCGCAAGCTCATTGGACATCATCCAATGTTTCGTGCTATTTTAATCACAGAAAGAGCATAGATTAATCGCATTCAACTCCTGTAAGCTACTTGCTCATCTTACTGCTGCTTCGATCTTGTTGTTCTGTGTAATAGCCTTTTGGAAGCCCGAGACCACGTTGTCCGATAGAATTTCTATCACCTTATCACTAATTGGGGTCACAATGAGAGGGTTGCGTCCCTCAAGTATCGTTCTAGATGATAGTCCTTCGTATGCCCCGGCCCTTCTGTTGTCGAGATGGTCTTCTCAGCAGGCTTGCATGCGGACTTAGCAGCTAGTTACTTGGCCGCGTTTGCGTAGTCGCTGTCATCGTCACTCTCGGCATTGAATCGCACCGCAGTGTAAATTATCAGTCTCGTACACTCATGATGTATCACCTGTAGGTGGTAAATGCCCTGACATTTGCGAACTAGCAAGCCAAAAGCGATCCTTCGGCTGGCGCAGTCGCCAGCACGTCTTAAGGCTGCGTACCCGATCTCGATAGCTTCAGCCCCAACCAAGATTCTCTCTGCGTTCATGCATGACCATCTTGAAGCCACCACTCTCCGCTCCGGTACGATCGGCAGCAGCCACCTTCTGGTCTTCAAAGAGGAAGACATTTCTGTCCACTGCTTAGCGTCCCACATTGGGGATCTCGGTGACCTTTACGGTCTTCCGCTGAGTAATCGTGCAGAATAGGGAGAGCCCTTCGCTCGGGTTCTTGACCTGATGTAGAGGAGTCCTCATTACCAGTACCAGAAACGTCGCAGCCACTTCAACGGGCGAAATAAAGATCTTCGAGCCGTTGAGAATGTAATAGTCCCTTTCTACTGCTACCGTTGGTTACAAACGCAGGTTATCCAATCCGTGTTGGGCCTGTATCCCCATTGATTCTTCTGCTCCTCAGTTGCAAAATTCACGACAGGCTGGAGGCCAAAGTTGTTCACGTGGACCGTTGACGTTTCTTTAATGCACGCACCGGACTTATAGATTGTGAGCAACATCGTAGCCTCTTCAGATATGCCGAGCCAGTCCACAGTATTGGTCAGGCATGCCTATAACCAACCATCCGTTGGGTGCCAGGTCCTTGTACATCTCCCGGGAAAGCTGAGGTTGATCATTGCTTTCAAGCCCATCCTCGTCGGGGGACTTCTGACAGATCATTGCTATATCGTCGCGAACAGCACGTCCAGAATCGTTTCATCCAAAAAGGTTGCTGGGTAGATAATCGGTCGCCCGCGCCTGTATGGCTCGGAAATCAAACCTCCGCGCGGATCGCAAGCCACAGGCGGGATCGTTGTCCTCCGCTCAGGCGTTCGATTCATGACTCCCAAGTTGGAAGTGTTCGACATCATCCGAGAGTAACACCTGTGTAAGCTGACCGGTCTGGGCGGACGATGGGCCGAGAAAGTTCGACCCGGTGTTCGAGGTATTCGGAAAGATGGTCGTAAGGAAGCGTAAGCCGCACAGCACCCGTCGAATCGCCGGGGTTTGACGAGTTTACCGGGACCGAGGTCAATACATGGCCATACCAACAGTATTTCTGCCGTTAAGACTTTGTCCGTCATCGTGGCAAGTCTGCGAATTTCTTCGTGAGTGCTCCTCGAAGGAGAGCAGCCTTACCACGCATTGGGCGGACTGATAATATGGGAAAGCTGGAAGCCGGGCTTTCCGGTTGGAACTTTCAAAGTGAGGTCGCTCATGTTGTTTGGTACGCAGCTGCCTCAATGTCACCATTCGTCGCTGTTTCCGTCTCGCAACCGATCGGGTCTAGGGAGGTGCTGCTCTTCCCCTTCTTCCCACTATGTCAGGCTCTTCCTTCCACTGTTCAATTACTCAACGCCTATCCCACCGACCGTTGTGGGAAGGACGATCATGGTAGCATCCCTGCCAACGTCATGTTCAGGGGAGCCAGGAGGGAGCGAGTCATTGAGGGAGCCGATGTTTTCCTTTCCTCCCGGGAATGACGAACCGCATCCTCGAGCACCCAACCGCATGTCATCGGACGTGTTGTCATCAATCGCTCATTAGGCTAAATACGTTTCGTCGCCAGCCAAACGAGATCCGCGTACTGCAAAACATCCATGATGGACTCCGCAAAGACGACCGAATCCCCCGGAAAGGGTATTGTGGCTCCCAAGACCCCGGAGAGAAGGCCAGCCATTGCGCCCATGCCAGAGGGAACCGAGCCCGCAGGCTCGGAGGTTCTCACACCTCGTCAGCCGCAGACCCCGGCAGAGTTTCGAAAGGAGATGGACGACTACCAAAGAACAAGTTTTCGCTTGTTGAATACACCGGCCAAGCGATTTGCACGCACGATGCGCATCGACAATGAGACCGAAGCTCCTAGTCAATCGCCTACCATGTTCAACACCCCCCCACGACGACCCGGGCGCATGCTTAGCACCAGGGACAATGCCTGCCCCGACACCCCAGGAATGCTGCCGCCACCTACGCCAAGTCGCATCAGAAACAATGCAATGGCACGGTTAGACCGGGTGCCAAGGTCCGCGGACGTGGTAGCGAGGGCACGCCGCATGTTGGAGACGGAGAGCGCCAGCGACAAGGCCAAGATGACCAAGGGAGGCCAGGACATTAGCAAGGGCTCAGGAAGCGGCACTATGTGATGCGTCGAAGCGGGAATACGATACCGACCTTTGCCTGACCTTAACTTGTATGAGCCGGGCGCAAGCATGGACTAAAGGTTCAGAACACACATACGGGTTCCATCAGAAACAAAGCAATTTTATCGGGGTAATGGAACGTTCAAGTTCGTTGAAGAGTGCGCGGGTAATGGCATTTTTGTTTGAGCTGGGTTATAAATAGTATCGTCATACCGGAGCTCGTTCCGCTTTCTTCTGCTCCAGATATGAGACAGCAAATCAGCACCCAAGGTCAGAAGAAGAGTGTCACACGAACCAGGCCCAAAT